TGTACATAGGAGAAAAAGGTAAGGAGATATAGGGCATCCCTGCCTGACCCCGCGCTTTAGGAAGAAACGAGGAGAAGTACCAGCATGCAATTTGATTGAGCAGTTTCCATCTGCATACATTGTTTTGATGGCACTGCTGAAGTATGAACCAAAACCAAATTTTTCTAGGGCATGGAAATGAATTTATGTTCGATTGTATCGAAAGTCTAAAATCTAAAAAAAGAATGAAACTTTCATCAAGGCATAAATCTGAATAATCAATTAAATCAAGTACTAATCTGACATTGTTGGAAATATGTCTATTTCCCATGAAGCCGGATTGAGTTTCATCAATTATGTAGTCTAAAACAAGTTTAATTCTTTTAGCAAATATCAATGCAAATAATTTGGTATCATTATTAAGTAAACAAATTGGGCGCCAGTTGTCAGTGAGGAGTATGTCTTTCTTTGGTTTTGGTATTAGAGATATAAGGCCTTGGGTTAAGGTAGGAGGAAGGGATTCATTGCTTATACATTCTGAGAAAAGACCTAAGAGGAAAGGTGCAAGCTGTTTGGAAAATGCTTTATAAAATTCAGAAGTAATACCATCTGTGCCTGGAGATTTATGAAGCTTGAGGTGTTCAATAGCCAATATAACTTCCTGTAGTGTTAGTGGTTTGTCCACAAGATTCTTTTAAGTCAATATCAATTGACTTCGTTTCTGTAAGAGACCCTAAAAATTGACAGTTAGATTCTTCACAGTATTTTGATTCATATAATTTGGTATAAAAATCTGAACAATATTTAGCTATTTTACGAGGGTCATCTGTAATGTCTCCATCAATATTTAATTTTTGTATTTTGTGCACTATTCTGCTCCCCTTCCTCTAGCCTCCTTCTTCTACTTCTCACAAAGGCCCCCTCAGCCTTCAATCTATAAATGTCATCTAATTTGTTTTGCAAACTAATTAAATGTTGAGAATTATTTTCAGTTAAATTTACATTAGTTTTTTGCGTTATTGATGTTATTTCTGACATTAGAGTTTCTTCTTCAGCTTTTTTGGCCTTAGCAATCGAACTTCCATATGCTCTCAAGAATTTTGATAATTCGAATTTTAAAAGTTCCCAATTACTACAAAAATTGTTTTCTAATAAAGATTTTTGCCAAAAGCATTCAATTAATGTTTGGACAGTTTCAGACACAGTGTCATGTTTTAGAATAGAGCTGTTCAGTTTCCAATATGAACTTCTATGGTGGCGACCAGAAAAGACTAAGGTGAGAGCAACGACCCGGAAGTGGGCGGGCTGAAGAGGCAGGAAGCGAGAGGTCAGGAGGAAGGACACAGCCCACTTTTATCCCCTCTGCATGAACAATGATTGGCTAATAAGCCAGAAAGGGCAAGGTGAAGCAGAAGCTTGTGACAGTGGTGCCTCATACCACTACATTACTACGACTCTGTCTTCATTGGCTACGGTTTAACTTGGTGTTTAGTCAGAGTTTCAACAACCTGCACGAGAACACTACAGCATGATCTCACTATAGCTGATCAATTAATCCTCACCACTTCTCTATATTACTAAATCATTCAAAGATAGAAAGGGATAGAAAAGGATAATCATTTATTAATCTAATCTTGTTTGTCCACTGTCTTCTATGATTCGATATCTGAAAAGCTGTCCCTGATCCAGCAAACAGGAGTCTCTCTTTGCGACAGAGGAAGGAAATTTCATGTCGCCTGATCCTGTGGGGTTCCTTCAGTGCGCTACACTTCTCATTCCTTTCGCATAGGAGCAGCAACAACTGCAGCGTCTGTAGCTCCTATCTCAACTTTATGCTTATCTGATTTTATCTGCTGCTCACCTTGTCCTAAGATTTTCATGTATGCACATGGAAGGGCAGGGAGGTGTACACACAACACCAACACAATATAGACATCTAATCACAGCACATTGGAAAGGCAAGAAATTCCCAGAACAGAGCAATACTGCCAAATATAACATTCTGCATTCGTAAATAAAGTTTTTTTCTTTTGATGTTACTTTAACCTTTGACCTTTTAGTCAAAACCTCCACCAATTCGTTATCTGACCAATTGTACAACATAAATGTAAATACAAAACTTCATGGCAATCAATCAGGGGTTGTTGAGATATTTTACTCTGTACCAAAATAGTGGGCCAACTGGCAGAAAGTCATTGCCATCATTGTTATAGAAAATTTGCAAACTGTAATTGTGCTCACATTATTTGTGTTGAATTCCAAGGGTGTATGCGATTACCTTTTTCATCTGAGAGTGGTATGTATGTTATCAGGATACAGGAGTATTTATGTAATCACTTAGGTCCAGTGTGTAAGATTTACTAGCATAGATCTTTCTAAATGTTACACACTTGAGCTTTTAACTTGGTTGCAAAAATGTATGAAGCAGACTTCAGTCATGTATAAAACAGGTTACAACTGCTTTCCCCCTTTTTTTTTTAATGTGCACACAGTCAGCATAACAAAAATGTGTCACGGTCCTGATACTTACAGACTGCACAGTGAATCCTAGAGATAGTGATTTGTCAAAAATACATACAAATGGACAAACCCCAAGTAGCTTCACTTTTAAATTAAATTAAAATCAACAAAATGGCAATTACTATGATCAAGTACATTGTTCTATTAATGCTGAAGGTCTAATTTCGCAGAGTCTCTCTACAGTATGTTGGCCTCACAGGAGTCAGGCTGCAGTATCTTTAATGTAACAATGAGCTTAATGGATTTTCTAAACCAGGGATAAAAAAAGGCATAGATCATGGGATTTAGACAGGAGTTAAAGAAGAACAAACATATTACAAAGGCACCAGATGAAGCATTAAGAAAGCTATCTTGGCCTGTAAGAATAACGCAATAATATGGACAGGTGCATATTAGAAACACAACTATAACAACACCAAGAGTC